CCTTTGTCAGAAGCATAACATGCAAAAATCTTCTCCCATTCTGAAGGTTGTCTGTTTGCTTTACTTACTTTGCTCTTGGCTGTGCAAAGGCTTTTTAGTTTGATCAGATCCCAGTAATGCATTTTTGGTATTGCTTCAATTGCCCAAGGGGTCCTCCTCATAAAATATTCTTCCAGGCCAATTTCTTCAAGTGTTTTCCCTGCACTCTCTTCTAGTATTTTTATAGTTTCATGTCTTAACTTTTATCCAGTGAGAAACAATTTTTGTTAATAGTGAAAGGTGGGGGTCCAGTTTCAGTCTTCTACAGGTCGCCAGCCAGTTCACCCAGCACCATTTGTTAAATAGAGAGTCTTTCCCCCACTGAATATTTTTGATAGGCTTGTTGAAGATCAAATGACAATAAGTAGCTGGGTTCATCTCTTGGTTCTCTACTCTGTTCCATAAATCTACCGCTCTGTTTTTGTGCCAGTACCATGCTGTTTTGATCATTATAGATTTACAGTATAGTCTGAAATCTGGTTATGTGATACCTCCTGATTTGTTCTTATTTCTGAATAATGTATTTGCTGTTTGAGGTTTTTTTCTGATTCCATATAAAACGAAGTACAATTTTTTCAAGTTCTTTGAAGTAATGGTACTTTATAGGGATTGCATAATGAATAATGGTACTTTAATAGGGATTGCATTAAATCTGTAGATTGCTTTGGGTAGTATGGACATTTTAACAATATTGATTCTTCCCAGCCCCGAACATGGTATGTTTTTCCATTTGTTAACATCTTCAGCTATTTCTTTTCTCAGAGTTTCATAGTTCTCCTTGTAGAGATCTTTCATGTCCTTTGTTAGGTAAATTCCCAGATATTTCATCTTCTTTGGCACTATTGTAAAAGGAATAGAGTCCTTGATTGCTTTTTCAGCTTGACTATTGTTGGCATATATAAAAGCTACTGACTTGTAAGTATTGATTTTGTATCCTGAGAGGCTGCTATATTCCTTGATCACAAGTAGAACTCGTTTTGTGTGTTAAGTGGTCTTAGCATCAGTAATATTTTTTATATTGTACTATTTCAGATTTGCACTGTTCAGAGTTGCATACCATGAGGCTGGATCATTTTAATAAAATTGATTAAAGTGAAACTACTTTTTTTTGATGTAGAAAATACAACTTCCAAAGAAACTTGCAAAACGCTATCCAACATATGAGTTATATCTTTATGGAGAAGGATCATATGCTGAAGAACACAAAATTCTCCCTTTGACGGGTATTCCAGTTCTCTTTCTTCCTGGTAATGCTGGAAGTTATAAGCAAGGTAAGTCTTGGGAGTGAATTTTGAAAGCTGTAAAATTCAATTCAAAAATTTGAATCATATCCGTACTCAGTGAATCAGATGAAGTGAATGAAATACATACTCTTATGTAAAGTACTATGTCAGGTTACTGGGAGACCCAACTATATGACATTCTTTTCTGAGAGAGAATACATGTAAGAAGTACTTAGGAAAAAAAGATTTGAAGACCACTTTGGAAAGCGTGAAAAGGAGAAAAAGTGTAAGTTGGAAGGGAGTGGGATAAGTAAGTGGTGTAGGAGTTCAGGAATCAGCAGAGGAAACAGATTTCTGTTGGAGATAGAGGGTTGAGAGAACAGAACCTGAATTGATTAGGCTTATGTCAAGCCAAATAAGAAAGAAGGTTGGTCTCTTTCTTTTGGAGTTCAGTTAGATCCAGAAGTACTAGAAGTAACACAGAAAGATGACGGTAGGGAAATTACATGTGTAGATGCCAGCTGGCTTGGTGATGCAGCAGTTATTTCTGGCAAAACAGACAAGTAATCAGAAAGTAATTTTGTTTACAACTAAAACCTGCTTAGTTATTAAATGGACTAGAATTGTTATATAATGAAACTAAAATTGTTTCAATATGTACAATTACATGTTTATTCATCTAGCATATTTATGGGGTACCTACTATGAGCCAGGCAATATTCTAGATATTAGAGATCCAAGATAAAATCCCTTCCTTATCACACTTAGGTTCTCTTTGGGAAGACAACCATCCAACAAATATGTCAGTGGTGTTTAGCTAGAAAGAAAAATAAAACAGAGTAAGGAGGTAGAGGATAAACAGGGCTATGAAGTATTCAAGAATGGCCACTGTGAGGAGGAGATTTGAGGAGAGACTTGAATGGAGCAAGGGATTGTGTATGATTGTTTGGGGGAAGGCCCCAAGTCAGGATCATGCTTGGTTCCTTGAAGGTCAAAATGACTAGAGAAAGTGAAAACAGATGAGAATGAAAAGTAGCCAGGGGCTGTATTATATAAGGTTAGACAAGATTTTGACTTTTGGCTCGGCGCCTATAGCTCAACCGGCTAAGGCGCCAGCCACGTACACCTAAGGTGGTGGGTTCGAATCCCCAGCCC